AGTAGCATCAACTGGGATGCTAGTAGCATCAACTGGGATGCTAGTAGTATCACCTGGGATGCTAGTAGTATCACCTGGGATGCTAGTAGCATCACCTGGGATACTAGTAGCATCACCTGTAATGCCAGTAGCATCACCTGTAATGCCAGTAGCATCACATGGGATGCTAGTAGCATCACCTGGGATACTGTAGGCATCACCTAGGATGCCAGTGGTATAGCAGGTGATGCTACTAGCATCACAGGTGACGCTACTAGCACCCCAAGTGACGCCTCTAGCATCCCAGGTGATGCCTCTAGCTTCCCAGGTGATGCTACTAGCATCCCAGATGATGCATCTAGCATCCCAGATGATGCCTCTAGCATCCCAGATGATGCTACTAGCATTTCAGGTGATTCCTCTAGCATCTCAGACGATGCCTCTGGCATCACAGTTGGTTTCTTTAGTGAGTTCCTAATTTGAAATTTACGCAGTTTGGATCTCACTTTTCTTGACCTCCCCTTAGTCCCTTAGTCCGTTAGTCCCTTTAGTCCCCTTAGTCCCTTTAGTCCCTTAGTCCCTTAGTCCCTTATTTCAATTTGAAATCAAGTGCTCTTTTTTCTGTTTAAATTCAGATTGAAATTAAATAACCCATAGTATGAAAAATACAGATAGAACTGGCAGATTTAAATATTAATTCAATTGATTCTAAAGCTCTTGTTCCTCACCCTTGAACATTATATGCAAGAACATTTAGAGGAGATTGTTGATATAATGTTGGGTTTTTTTCTTTTCCCAAAGGTTAAAAATACCATTTAGCGTATTTCCTGAGTACCATTCGCTCATAATCTCAATGATGAGTTGAACTATACTAGACGAAAAACCCCAACCTATGACCTTTCGAATCACGGTACCTATTATATCAATCGAGGATGAACAATGTGGAGAAAGTTGAGAGGGAAAAAACGGAGAAACATGGGCATTTAACAAGGAAGAGTTACTGTTACTAAACATCAGTTATTTCCATTGACTGCTCATCGGCCACTAGAACGTTTTTACCTTTGTTAATCGATGTTGTTGCTGTTTGATTTGTCGTTCTATTAAGAGGAATTGAAGGTGATGCTGTTGATGTCGATTTTGATTTCTAGACTTACTGAATTAAATTGAAACGAGATTACGAGATCAATAGATTACACAGCATTCATTAAAAAAATGTTGCAATGAATCTACGAAACAAATTAAGATAACCAACTTCAGTAAGCCCTGAGCGACCGCTCAGCGGAGCGACCGCACCGTACGACCCTTTGAACGAAGCATGGTACGGCCATTCCGCTCAGCAAAAAGGCTTACAGAGCGGTCCGCACCGCCGCCACTATTTGAATGTTTAACTCATATTTTTCGCCGCCGCCGGTCGATTTTTAACACATTCGCCACGATGTGAGCCATCGGCGGCTCACGGTATGTTCCACTGAGAGAAATGATGCAAGAATCGACTTTTTGCTATTCTTTCCTCGGTAAAATGCAACGGTGAGTCCTTCACATATTCCGTTCTCGCGAATACTTCAATCATTTTATTATATAGAAGAATGCTTTTCGTTGAAACAATGAAGACAAAAGAATTTGCCGCAATCAGAACAGAAAGTTTTTATTCTTTTTACTGCCATTGCACTTGCTTCTCTTGATTCTTGTTTTCTGATTTTCTCGTAGCAGCCAACACAGCGTCGTCGAACATCACGAGCAGATCCTTCTTTTTCTTCGAGCTTGTGATCAGCGAGTTTCCGCTTCGTTTGGCCTGCCGAGTTTTGTCTCGGACCCGATTTCAGCTTCTCGAATGGCATGCCAAGCAGTAGAGATCGAACAAGACTCTCGCGAAACTGTAGAATGGTTACTTTGCTTGCAGCGTAGTTTTCCTTATATATAAAATAACTATTTACCAGTGCTGTACCAGAAACCAATTCGAATGCCACCTTTCGATACCACTTTATTGATCGTCTGAGACATGTGTAATAGGTTGATAGCTGATCAGATAAATCAGTATCTTGTCTTCCTTCGTTATAATCTAGCACAACTTGTGGCTTTATGATGAACTCATTTTTACTATTGATGTTTCCAGTATTTACCACAGTTGCTGAATGCGACGGTCTTGTAGATATCATCAAGACGTCCTTCTTGTCTTTCAACTTGATCAGTTTCACACCGTCTTTGTTCTACAGTCCGTAAATTTCGCCGGGTCTAAGTTTTTTCTGAACAATTTCGCTTCCTGATCCGACACGATTACTTCTCAGTGTTCCAATAAGATACGTATCATGTTCTTACAAACGTTTCGCAAGAGAAATACTGGTAAAGAAGTTGTCAGCTACCACAGTTCGATAACATCCATCGAGACCATCTAATAACTTCATTACCACTGTTTGAGGATGTCCAAGACCTGTCATGGGATCTTGTTGACCCATATAGATCCCAAAATTCCAGGTGTACCCATTGGTAGCCGCTAGCTTGTACATCTTTACGCCGTACTTGTGTGCTTTACCGGGAATATATTGTTTTAACAAAAGCCTGCCTCGCCATGGTATCATAGTTTCGTCGATACTCACAACCGAGCCAGGCATATATACTGACGAAAACCTGGCTTTCAATAAATCCATGATTCTTTTCAACTTGAACAGCCTATCTTGATTCGAATCTTTGTTATCGTTATTCGAAAAATGCCAAAACTTGAGGAGTAATTCAAATCTCTCTCTCGGCATAGCATTTCGAATAATCTCCGACCCATACAACTGACTGCTGCTCGAGTTGTGGTTCAATCTCGACGTTTGTACCAATCCCATCTCGATAATGATCCCAAAGAACTTAAACATTTCTTCATCAGTGGTTGGTTTCCATTCACGATACTTAGATCATCTGCTGATCTCATGAGCTTGCAAGTATTGCTCCGCATATCGATTAGTTTCACGAACCATAAGATCAATAATTTCGTCTGTGATGAAATGCCGATAACAATCGATAGGATTGACCGTATTATCTTCCCAAGCAGAAGTTACTTCTTCGATGAGTCCATGATCTTCCATGAATTCTGCATCCGATGTTGATTCTATTTCATTCCAAATTTTTGGGTCTACCTCGTCATCAGTCATTTCTTCGTCGGAACTTGCAGATTCAAGATGCATTCTATCAAGATCATCATCCAAAGAGCTCATTTCACTTAGTGAATTAGCGTTGTCTTCTGTATCAATTTCTTCGAACGACATGTGAACTATTTCGAAATTTCGACCGCTTTTATACATAACATCATAAAGATAAGAATAAGGAGGAAAAATCTGGGAATTTTCTTGTGACTCATTATGTGATGATACGAAGAAAAGAACAATGAATAATCTGTGGAAGATAATGAAAAGGTCACTAGGTGCATTTATTTGAAGTTAACTCTTGAGAGATATGGATATTTCGGAGATTTTTCCAAGAAAACTGAATCGTAGTGAATGTGTTAAGGACGGTGCACGCCTCTGGTTTAGGCATCAGTCTGTTTTTCTTTCTAAGATACAGTCATATGAACACTTGCATGCACACCTACATCCACACCCTTCTAATTCTATTTTCTTTCAAAATCGAGTTGACTAACATTAAAATAAAAGGAACGAGCGTTCTTTAATTCGATACACAATTCTAAAACTATGATTATGATTGGCTGTGAATTTTCCTATGATGAAATCTGAATACACAACCAAGCATCCTGATGATGTAGGAATTCTTTTATTGACAAAACAAAGAACAAACTTACACAATGCTAATATCGTGTGTTATCAATTCTCTTTCATTTGTTCTTTTGTTTTTAAAGTATATCTTCAAATGGCGACAACGACACAAGGAATAGTTTGCATCAAATGTAAGAAAACAAAACGAATTGTAACATGTAAAGGCTGCTCGAAAGATTTTTGTGCCGATCACCTCAACGAGCATCATAATGAATTAAGCGAACAATTAGGTAAAACTGAAGATCAATTTAATGAGTTCAAAATTCAGATTGAAGGACAAAAAGCTGAGCTACAACAACATGAATTAATGAAACAAATCGATCAATGGGAACACGAATCAATCGAAAAGATTCGACAAGTGGCAAATGAAGTTCGTTTGGAACTCTCATCATGTGTCATCACATTTATCACCGATCAAGATTTCAAATTCAAAAAATTGAGAGAGCAATTGATTCAATGTCGCAAAGATGAAGATTTTATTGATACAGACATTCAGTTTTTGAATGAAGAACTCGAAAAGTTAAAATGCATTCTTAACAATTCACCAACTTTCAAAATTGAATACGATTCAACATCTTTTATCAATAAGATTCGTTTTAACAAGGAAGGTAAATCTTATGTTCAAGTTTTCATCATGTCGTTTTCTCAGATGATTAAAATGATCTGTTCAGTCATTCAAATTGTATTTCATTGTAGAACTTCTCAAGGTAAAGAATTTCATTCTGAAATTCCATTAGAATGAGAAATTAAGTGCTGAAGCTTTTCTTCGACAATCTTCATTGTTGAGAGAGAAATTAATTGAAATAATGAAACAATTATCGATATTTACGTAAGATAATTGTTTTCATTGGAATTTCTCAGAAGTTTTCTCCAAAAAGTTAAAAATATTTCTTCAAAATCTTCACAATATAAGAACAATAATTTGCTACAGTTGCCTATTCGACAACCGTTTTACATTTCTCGAAACTAAAAAGAAATTATATGGAAATGGTCAAAATATGACATAAGAGTGTGGGTGTTGGTGTACTTTGTCGCTTCATCCTATTTCAATACCACTAACGATACCACTCACACCCACCCATCCCCACACTGACATCCATAGCCATTTTCTAGGGTTATATAAAACTTTGAGAAGTACTATTTTAGAAAATAATAGAGCACATATTTGTATATGTAATTATACAAATAGTCAGATTCTAGACAGAAGTGTTCTTGCACATGCCCTCCTGGCTCTCCACCGTGCATTGCTACTGATGAGAGAACATCCCCAGGTGAAGCTTCACTTTTGACATGATATTTTGCCCATATATAGGCCTTACAAGGGAACACCACGAACTGATAAATCGCTATTTAAATTTTAGTCATGCCAATTTGTAGAGCTTGTTGAGTTATTAACTGATATAATAGTCATTCGGGCCCACAGTGCGGCTTTAGAGTAAATTTCTGATAATCAAAGTTTCCATTAACCTGTCCATACCGTCTAGTAGGCCTATAGAGGCCCTATAAAGACCCTATAAGACCAATATAGGGGAGCCTATAGGAGCCCCCTAACGTGATTCTATATGGCCTCTATAGGACTCCTATAGGGGGCTTATAAGATCCTGTAGGGACCCTATAGGAAGCTTATAGGGTCCTATAGAGATCCCATAGGGGTCCTATAGGACCTCTATGGGACCCTATAGGACTCGTATAGGACCACTATAGCGAGCCCCCTATAGGGGTCCTATGGAATTCCTATAGGGGAGCCTACAGGGTCCTATAGAGGCCCTATAGGACCCCTATGGGGTCTCTATAGGACCCTATAAGCTCCCTATGGGATCCCTACAGGATCTTATAAGCCACCTATAGGGGTTCTATACCCAGGTCGAAAAATCTGACACAAGATCTTATGAAGTACATGTAAGATCTTGGAATATGGACGAAATCTTACAAGAATCATACAAAAAATCGTAGTTCCTGCAATCTTAGATCAATTCGTACAATCAGATTCTTGAAAGATCTTACAAGATAACAGGGTCTTTCAAGAATCTGATAGTATGATTTGATGCAAGATTTCTTAGACTACGATTTTCTGTACAATTTCCAGCTGATCTTACAAGATCGTACATGATCAGAAGTACGATCTTGTAAGATCTTACTGTCTGATTGTTTGACCTGGGGGGGGGGGGGGGGGCTTCTATAGGCTCCCCTATATTGGTCTTATAGGGTCTTTATAGGGCCTCTATAGGCCTACTAGACGGTATGGACATGTTAATGGAAACTTTGATTATCAGAAATTTACTCTAAAGCCGCACTGTGGGCCCGAATGACTCTTATATCAGTTAATAACTCAACAAGCTCTACAAATTGGCATGACTAAAATTTAAATAGCGATTTATCAGTTCGTGGTGTTCCCTCGTTAGTGAGACTGGAAAAACCTTAAAAAGGTTTGAATTTCTACGGCTTCCTTGTCGAGATATGAAGTTCACGTCTTCTCTAACAGTGCTATGATTTATATTGGAATACGATGCAATGTCAATTTTTTCACAACGCTATGAAATACAGACTTACGGTTTTTTTTGCATGAACGGTATTTCATAGTGGCCATATATGACACACATTTTTAGCTTTGGCAGAGACTCCTAACCACACATATCAAGCTTCCTTGCCTGAGACTAGATTGCATGAAAGAGAGTTTCCAAAATGAAGCCTAGTTTTTTTAGACGAGTCGTGTATGAACATGCGCTTAATTTAATAAGCGACAGTTTTGAGTTTATTCTCTCATACTGATTCGTTATTCTTTGTCCGCGAGCGGCTATTTAACGACTGATCCTGATGACTTTACTACAGTCAAAGATATTTGCTTCAGTGTGGAAAAGTCGGTCTGTGAAGAGAAAAATTGTGACAACTCTTCTTTTATCAAGTGTAGTTGGTGTCGCAAAGAGTTATGCTTTGAACATTTTTTCCTTGTCTATCGCATAGACTAATTCATCATATTGTCAAAGTTCAGTTGTACCGGTTGCATTGCTTAGGTTCAATTTATATTGGTGTTCACTTTTGTTCATGATACGTAAGAATTTCAGCATATACTCAATAAGACTGTTCTTCACATGCGGGAACTTATGAAAAAAATAGAGTTGACCTTCGAAAGCTTTGCTAGAGCTAAAAAGAAGTGTGTCATATATGGCCACTATGAAATGCAGTTCACACAAAAAACCAGTAAGTCTGTATTTCACATCGTTGTGAAAAAGTCGACATTGCATCGTATTCCAATATAAATCATAGCACTGTTAGAGAAGATATGAACTTCATATCTCAACAAGGAAGCCATAGAAACCCAAATCCTTTTGAGGTTTTTCTAATCTCACTAAGGCCTATATATGGACAAAATATCATGTCAAAAGCGAAGCTTCACCTGGGGTGTTCCCTCGTGAGAGAGCATATTTTGATATAGTAAGTGTTTCAATGTCACAGCGAACGCAAACACTAGTGTAGTCAGTGCCCTAGTTGATCGTGTGTCTGTGATGCACTGTAAATATTTCAGAATATGCACCAGCACTGCACATCCCTAAATGCACGCCTAGTGCATTACAAGGAAAGTGTAACAAAAATAATACTGAGAGCCCAACATGCACACTTTTATGAAAATGCATATATGATATGGTGCAAATTTTTTGCGTCGATTGAGACTGTGTGTTTGATTTCGCTCTGAAATTGAATGATGATGGTAAAAAGTGCTATAAAAGATTTCATAATTAACAATCTTATCTAAGGGTGTGGGTGTGGATGAATAAATGATACTATCTTCAGACACACGCACCCACACTCCACACCCACACCCACACCCACACCCACACCCACACCACACACCCACACCCACATCCACACCCACACTCACCCCACACCTACACCCACACTCACACCCACACACACCCCACACCCACACCTACACACACCCCACACCCACACCCACACCCACACTCATCCCACACCTACACCCACACCCACACCTACACACACCCCACACCCACACCCACACCCACACCTACACCCACACCACACACTCACACCCACACCCTTCTAATTTATTCGAGATGAAAAATTGTCATGAATGAAGGGCACTGGGAAGCGCCCGAGGTCCTTTTGCTTGAGGCTGTTTACCTACTTACTAATAGTGTTAGCCTCATATCGCCTCGAAGGCCAACTTTTTTTTTCCAATATTTTTTTACCATTTTGTAGAGAATAAAAAGTTACATAACATATCAAAAATTCAGCTTGGCCTTTTTTGATCTCGCAAAATGGAAGCAGATATACTCCAAAAAATCTGACGTTATAAAACAGTACCTTGAGACCTTCTTCACTCATGTTAGCCCAGTAAATAGATAATATACAATTTTTTAAATAGCCCATTTTTTTTAGCCTTTCATGCTCTATCCTTTGATATATGGTATGAAAAAAATTCCTGACTTGTTAAAGTACAATCTCAGTAAATATCTCTGAAAAAATTTTGATTACTATTTTGACAATCGGCTGGTAGCGCTAACAAGTCGATCCAGGCTAACTTTACTATAGTACATCCAAATGAGCTAAAAATTTGGATTTGGTGGTTTTAGATGACGGTCTTTCGAATACACATAAAAAAAATCAAAAAATTAAATTTTGACCAGTGCCTCGGTTCCTTGGTCCTATCATGGATGCTCTCTTAATATAGAAATTTAGAAGATATTTGACATTTCAGAAAGGTGATCGTTTGACAGAAGATGAATTTGAGAAACTTCGTTATTTACTTGATACTGTAGATGAAAAAGTTGATGTTAAAAAGGTTTAGATTATTCATTGTATTCTTCAATGATGAAAATCTATGTTTGAATATAATTTAGTTAACGAAAACGATAGGAGAAACTAAAACTAATTGTCGTCAAAAAATCTCGAAAGAGAAAAACGAACAAAAACGAGGTAGATTCTTACTTTTTATTTATCATAAAAACTTTTTCTTAGATGATTTTGAACGTCGACTATCACGACTCGATTCATCAAAATCAAATGATAATAATGCTGTTCATATTATTATTGATCCATCATCGAAAAAACTATCCATTGATCCGGTTTCTAAAAAAAAAAGAAAAAAATACTTTATTTCTATAGAGTGTATTTTAGAAAACGCGTTCTTTACAAATGAAAGGTGCATTTTTTTGCGAATATTTCGATTCACCAGTCGATGCACTTTATTTTTCAATTGGTTATTCATTTGATATTAAAAAAGATGCGCCTATATGGATAACTGTTGAACCAATGATTTCACGATATCATGCAGGTACATCATTATGAAAACTCTCAGGTTCAAATGGATGAAATCTAATATTGATCGATTTCAATAAATAACTAAGTTTTAATGCACATCTTTTCTTTTTTTTATTAGATTTATCATTTAAAAATATGGATATTCGAATTCTTCTCTTTGAAAAACGTCCTCATTCAACAGAAAGACGTCTTCTTCATATGAGTTCTGAACGATCAGGATATGTAAGTACTGTTTGTCTTGTCTATTTTTTGTTCTTACCATTAAATTTTATAAATATAGAAATCCTATCTTCATTTGAATGCATTAGCAAAAGGCTCATATGAAGTTATTCCTGTTACGTTTGGTGGTGTACTTCGAGCACGATCGAAAGAAGTGAATGAACGTGCACCGATAAAAAGATTGCGAGAAAATAGAAAAGGAAATAACTTTGTTATGAGTAAAGATTACCGGTAAGAAAAACTGTGATTTGTATCTATTTTTAAAATTAAATTATCTTTTAGAGATGCACTTGAATATGTATTTGATCTATTTGATTTTGATGGTAAAAATTATTCATTTTAAATTATTTTATTTTTGACGTGTTTCTCTTTAGATAATAAACAACTTGATCGAAATGAATATAATTTATGGACAATAAGAACAACAGAAGAAGAAATAACTGATGAAGATTGGTCATCAATTCGACGTAAAGTGCTTAGTATTTTTCAAAAAACAAGTATCGATTTATTTTGTTAATTTAGAACATGTTGGTTTGGATGTTGATGAAAATGTTTCAAAAGAAAAATTTTTAAAATTAAATGATTTGGAAGTACAAGATCCATATACAAGTGAACAAGAGTTATGGAATGGTTTAAAATCTTTAGGTTTTAATTATGCACTTGAACTAGATATGGTTTGTTTTAAATATTTGTTTACATGTTGAAATTTCTTCTATTATTATTCATAGATGTGTGTATTTAATTTAACTGTACATATCAATCAACCTGATCTTCATCTTAAACCAACATCATATGTTGAATTAGCTGAAATAAAAACAGTTCTTATGAATTTTTTAGAAAATAAAGGACAAAAAATAAAACTTAATAATTCATCCGTTCAATGTTTTAATTATAAAGATGATTGTGGTTCAATACTTCTTGCAGAAAATAAAGTAAATATATATAATCTAATTTGATTAATATTTAAATGAATTCATGTATAGAGTGCATCAAATGTTCGATTATCTATTCAAGTAAAAGATTCAAAAAATGTTGCATTAAATCTACCTATTGATGCGCACAAACCACATGTAATCAATGTTCGGCATGATAGCACTCAAGTATGAATATTCAAATCGCTTTTTATTTGTTTTTTTTGCTTATTTATTAGTCCTATGTTTTAGGTTATTTGGTTTGCACATCAGCTAGAAAGTCAACGAAAGATGGAATTAGATGCAAGTTTTCAAGTAAAATGAAAATTGTTTTCTGCTTTTGTCTATTCTCATTTAAGGTTTCTGTCCAGCTTTTTGTGCACTTTACTAATCGGTAACAGTTTTATTGTATCTAATAAATTTGTTTTTGTTTTACGCATTGTAATACGCATATTTGGGGGTGTGGGTATGGGTGTGGGTGTGTGGTGTGTGGGTGGGTGTGAGTGTGGGGTGTGGGTTAGGGGTGTTATTTTAACTTAACTTTAAAAATCAAAGTTAAAGTGGTACTTCAAACTTAAAATTTCAAAGTTTAAAGTGGTACTTTAAACTTTAACTTTAAAAGTTAAAGTTTAAAGTTAAAGTAAAGCACTTTAAACTTTAACTTTAACTTAACCAATTAATGTTAAAGTAGATATGTTGACAGTCTTGGATAATCATATTAGGAGGATACCTTTAAGTCCTCAAGTCCTATATAATAGGGGTACCCTTAGGTACTCAAGTCCTATATTCGGATGGTACCTTTAGCTCCTCAAGTCCTACATTAGGAGGGTACCCTTAAGTCCTCAAGTCCTATATTATAAGGGTACCCTTAGGTCCTCAAGTCCTATATTATGAGAGTACCCTTAGGTCCTCAAGTCCTATATTAGGAGGGTATCCTTAGGTCCTCAAATCCTACATTAGAGAGTACCCATAAGTCCTCAAGTCCTATATTATAGGGTACTCTGAGGTCCTCTAGTGCTATGTTATGAAAATCAATTAGAATGTCATATTGGAGTATATTAAGGCACACAAAAGAATAAACTGCCTCAACTTAGCTTCTGTGGTAGAAAAAGAGGGTGTGGGTGTGGGTGCGTGTGCGTGTGGGGTAGGTGTGGGTGTGGGTGCGTGTGCGTGTCCGTGTGGGTCAAGCTTTCGATGAAAACACTATCTATATTCATACCCACACCCACACCCACATCCACACCCACACCCACACCCACCCACACCCACCCC